CCCCCCCCCCCCTCCCATGCAAACTTCCGCATGCAAGTCATTGCTCACCTCCCTTCATTGGCTCCTTCTTGCAGGTGTAGATACATACGCGGAAGACAAAAGAGGGACAGGAAAGTGACATGTCGGTGAAGAAGACGCAAAGAACATGTGCATTTACCCTCTCGTCCATGCTTCCGCAGCATATATATATATATATATGTATGCGTGTCTGTGTGTTTGTATGACTTGAAGGGGTTGTCAACCTCACCACGCACAAATAAATACATCAACTGTGAGCATATATATTTTAATATTTACACACACACATGTGTATATATACATATATGTAACTTTATTCATTAAATGGTAACAATGCAACTTAATAAATAAAAGAGTGCAAAAATAGGGGTGGGGTGGGAAGAAAAAAAAAAAAAAAAAAATTTAACGACAAAAATAAAAAAAAAAAAGAAAAAAAAGTAAAAGACACATCAATCAATAAATAAGAATAACGGCAACGAAATTCATTTAAAAAGGATTTCTTTTGCCAATTTTTCTCTCTCTCTCTCTTTCTTTCTCTCTCTCTGTGTGTTTCTGTGTTGTTTTCTTCACTTTTTTGCTTCTCCCCATTTCTACATGCTAGTTGCTTCCCCCTTCACGATCCCTGTTGTTTTTTTTTTGTTGTTGTTGTTGTTTTCTTTCTGCTGCTTCTTGCGGCAAAGTGTCAAAGCCATTCCTAGAGCCTTCGCTGTTGTCGTTGCCGCGGGAAGGACTGCAAGCTGTGGTTCCTCAGTTGTTTTGAGCTGCGACAGCGATGACGTTTGCAAAGAAGTTGGTTTGGCAATCGCATTCGTCAGCTGTGCCATGCCCCTCGTAGGACGCGGCAGAGTCGCCGCTTTAACTGAAACTTCTTGTTTGGTCCGCTGCTGAAAGGGACGATCGTCGTTTGGTTGCACCGCAGACGACGTTGTGGTGTGGCGTGTGTTTTCTTCGTCTGTCGGCACCGTCGTTGCTGCAATGGCGGGCTGCACACACTGAAGTTCGTAGCACTGCCACGCCTCCCGCAGCCTCACGTCAACGATTTCCAGTGAAGGCCCGGCATGTTTGCTTCCCTCCTCCCGCATCGGCGTCTGCTTGGATGGCAGCAATGAGTAGGGGAAAAAATGGGTCGCCACAAACGTCCAGCTCTCGCTGGGCAAAATTGGGTGTGTTATCGCGAGGGCACGCATGAAGGTCGTCAGCGTGGCTCCTTCCCCGGCGACGGAAGTCAACAGGTGACGATAACGCCTCAACAACGATGTTTGCGTCGTGTCTGTTTTCACAGACAACAGGCAGTAATGCGTCATCGCCTCCTGCCAGCGCCACCAAAAACCGAGTGGCGACTGCTCCGTGAGACGACGTGCCTCCATTACTTTCCTGACGTTTTCCCGCTCTGCCATGACCGCCCGCTGTGCCGCGAGGCCCTTCTTGGACTTCATTTTTCTGTGCTGCGGGGCAAGTGATGCGACGTCCCCCGTGTGACTCGCCAAGGTGGCGCCGGTTTGGCACATAGAGGGCACTGCGGAAGCCTCCAGGCTCTCCCTGCAAGTGTCCCCATCTCTCTTTTCGGCACCATCGCTGTCACGAGAGCGAGCAATGACAAGGTCCGCCGAGGTGCTACGGAAGAGTGTCTGCGCCAGTACAAACCACAACCGCATTGCCGGCGGCGGCAGAAGAGCGACATCTGTTACACGCTCATGCGCTGGGAGCACGTCAACGCCACCATTATCATTATCCTCATTATTATCAGCGTCATCCACACTGTGAGCATAAACACTGCAAATTTCATTCGCTTCCTTCTTCGTGTTAGCTGCACCAGCGTCCCCTTCCACGCGCAGACGCCACTCGTAAAAGGTGTCCCCACCGATTTCCTCCGCATGAAGGAAAGGTGCGTTGTTCCCCCCATGCGTTGCCTCTCCCCTTCCTTCTCCCTTATTAGGCCCATTGAGCATTTGTTCTACCCACGCGGGAGCAAGTGGGTGACCCACAAATTCCCGTGCCGCATCACTTCGCTTCACTGCTTCACGTGTACATGCCAACGCTTCATCCGCAGCGTACGTGTGAGAAAACATAGAAGCCGTTCCAGGCGCTAGAGAGAGCGCAGTAAGAATGTGACATAGAGTTCCGCGCAGTAGCCAACAGAGTGACTGCGATTGGCGTGCACGGGTGCCAATAGCGCCATCAGCGGCGTCGCACAACTTGAATAGACGCGGCTGCACAATTTTGTCAAGGACGTCACGAGCCCGAAGGCACATCGCAATTGACGATTCCACCGTTTTTTTTGCTATTGTGTCGTCCCCGCTTGCATATGGAATACGCATGATCACTAGTGGCCGTTCCTTCATCTCCAGCAGCTCAAGAAATACTGAAAAAAGAATACCCGTCACCACTTGCTCCAGCAGCAACATTATCCGTTCGCTGTCTGACCTCATAACATCTTCCTCCCCTAATGCAGCCTCAAATTGAAGCCACATATCATACATATCAAAATCTCCTTTCTCCATTGTTTTTCTCTCGGAAAATACTGGGGATGATGCTATAAAGCGACGCAAAAGCTGCTTGGCCTTGTGAACACCGTTTCGGTCACAAAAGGATAGTACAGCGGCGTGCAGGAGGACTACATACGCGTTTTCTGGTTCCAGAAGCCGTAGTGCCGCCAGAAGATGGACACAGACGTCAAGACCCTGCCTTGCCAGCAACTCCATAACCCTTACAACTTTAGCATGATGTTTCTTTTCATCATCTACCGTAGAATTTTTTGCTTGCTCTCGCTGTATAGCAGATGTCGACTGTATGGATGCAGACGTTGAAGCAGAAACAGAAAAAAGAAACCCCACAGCCACTTTTAATTGTTGCTGCGCAACATGGTACCCGACGCATAGAGCTTCTTGTGGTGATGTGGATAAGGCTTCGTTCGGCACGAGTAGTGGAGCGGCGCAGAGATGGGCAGTGCTCACCACATTCACTAACTGCAAGAGATGCAAACTCACCCAACAGCCTTGAATGAGGCCTTGCGCGATGCAAAGGGAGCATCCAGGTGTGAGGGTCTCCACGGTGCCAAGAACGACGCATGGGTCATCGGACTGCATCATATTCACCTCAGCAAAAGTATTGGAGCCACTGGACGATTCCGTCTGTGGTGTGTTGTTCTTCATAACTCCCATGACGGTCATAAAACGAGAGTCATTTGGGCGAGGTGGAAGGGAGGACGTCAACTGGGATGCCGATGACGACTGTGAGGAGGAGGAGTTCTTTCTGCAACCAATGCGTCGCTGGCAATGACTGGCGTGCCGTGGGAGACGTGCATGATACCGCCCACGAGTCCGTAACGTCTCAAGAAGAGCGTCTTCATCCACCTCGTTCAATTCATGCCACGCTGAGCCAAAAACCACATTCACCACACCGCCCTGACCAAGACCCCCGCTACTTCCTACAACGTTCCCTAACGCCTCTCGGCTTGGATTCACATAGGAACCAAATTCCCGTTTTCTTCCCAGGCGTGTTGACCCTCCATACAGGCGTACCTGTTTTTCCATTTCCAAGAGACTCACCTCTCTTGCCTTCTCATCCCGCAGCAACTCCCAGAGCCCCCATCGTACTTGTTGCTGCTGCCGTGGGAGAAAATCTTGGCACTGGGTAGATTCAACAAACCGTGCGAGTTCCACGCTCTGTTGAAGCGCAGAATCCAGTGGGGCGTCAATGTGATTGTAACAGTCCCCTAAAAAATGCAGAAATTGACTCATGAGACACGGTGTGGGAGAAGTGGAAGTACCACCACCCACAGCAGTAAAGGAGGCATTTATTGGCATCACAGATGCCGACGTGGCCAATGGCTCTTGTAGGTGCTTCAAATCTTCCCCGGCTTCCGTTTGCCGCTCCGTCCGCCCAAAGTCGTGCATAAAAGCACACACGCACACTCACTCAAACAATCACTCACTTCTTCCTTAGCGGCCGGCAATGACAACTTGTCGCATCGCAACAAAAAGAAAAAAACGAAAAACAAGAGGGGGGAGAAGAGAAAAACAACAAAAAAGAACTAAAATTGACTTTCACTGAAATGAATATCAGTCATGCAACCACAACAAATATACACCAACCAAAGGAAATGGACACACACACACACACACACACACAGACATACAGACAGACAGACAGACAAATAAGTACAATAAAAAAAGGCTGTTTGCTTTGCCTTACTTCTATTAGTCCCTCTCACTCTCTTTTCTTTATTATTATTATTATTAATTAATTATTATTATAAAGAAAAAAAAAAGTAAAGAAGAGAGGCGTTCGTTTAATTTCTCCTTCCGCTTCTTTCAAAGACATAACAAATACCCCACACCCCCATACACCCTCCCCTCTCCCCCTCATAAAAGACACACAGACGTACACATATGTATTTACATACATCTGCACAAGTAAGATGCTGCTGAAAACTTCCTGTTTTGTTCGTTTTCCCCCCATCCCTTCCATCTTCTTCTCATGCTGTACGACTTTATTTACACACACACACACACACACACACACACACACACACACACACACACACACACACACACACACACACACACACATACATACATACATACATACATACATACATATAAATATACATACGCACCATCCCCAACCTGCTGCATCGCCGTGACTCACTCACACTCCCGTAAATTCCTTTTTTTTTTTTTAAATTATCATTCCACTAGATGGCCACATGAAATCTCACACACACAAAAAAAAAACATTAACGCTTAAAAAACAGAAGAAAGAAAATCAGAATTCGGCAGTTTACAAGAGGGAGTGAGCAGAAAGCAACAGAGGAGGGGAGGGGAGGGGAGGGGAGGAGCAACAACGAAAGAAGAATACAACCAAACGACCTCGGAAATGAATAAGGTCGTGCTTGCATGTGCATAAAAGAACAGACAAGAGGTAAAAAAAGGGTTGCATGAATACAAGAATTCAGTCGCCGTACTACCAGCAGTACAAAAATAAAAGGTTTTTGCGCAGTAACAAAGAAAGAGGAAAAAAAAAAAAAAAGAAAATAAATAAATAAATAAATAAAAACAGTTCAAACTCAAAAAAAAAAAATCCTAAAAAAAAAATGAAGAAGGGAACTTTGCGACAAAGTATCAAAAAGAGCAATAAACATCTTTCCCCCCACCTCCTCCCCCCCTGGCATTCCACCCGTGTAAAACAATAATAATAAAAGAAGAAACATCTAAAACAGTTGCATACAAGCCAGAACCTACCCTCAGCCGCACATGGGCACTGACCCAAAATCAGGATAGTGTGTGTAGCCACAATCAGGGGGGCCGCGGCGCACATGTGCGCCGCAGTCGCTGAATATACACTGGGATATGTGTGTCCACGGAGAATATCTTTACAAAGTAGTTTTGTATTACCCACCCCCAGTCCGTGCCAGGAGTGTCGTCTTCTGCCGGCCTAAACACGGCTTCTGTATAGATTTCTTCCTCATCCTCTCCACCTGGAGGTATGTGTTTTTCCTCCTGGGCCCTGAGGCGGTGTAGCGAGGCATCCGGCTCGGCAATGAACGCACGTTCTGCCGCCGTTTGATTTCTGGAATTATCACCGGCGGCTGAACGCCACGTTGGGACAGCAGGAACAGAAACGTTAGTTGTGATGCTGCCATGAGCAACACCCCCTTTATTACAAGCAGTAGCCGATGTCAAAGCTGACCGACGGTACACCTTCAGCGGGGGAAAGTTGTGTACCACAAGTTCGGAACCACCCTTCAGTAGGTGATATAAGAGAGGAGGCATTGCAGCGTCATTTTCCACATCCCCACCGGCCTGAATATTCATGTTCGTGTTGTTTGAGCTGTTCAGGGCAGGGTAGATGATTAAGGTACGTTTTGCCGTAAACGTCGCAGGATGTGTTTTTCCCGTGGCGCGAAAGCACACATACCATTTGTCTTCTATGAGCTCTTGCATCGTAATCTTCTGGCGTCGCGCGTCACGAAGTGACATGTAGTATGCAAATTTCCACGAAACCGGTAATTGCATGTCTTCCTCATCGTTTTCAAATTCGTTCCCTTCCTGCCTCCTCTTATTCCCCTCAGAAATGAGACGCATCGCCTTTTGTTGGGCATGCTGCAGCACGCTTAGAGAGTGTGTTAGGGCCATATCCTCCTCAAACTCCTGATATGGATTGCTGTCATGCTTCCCATCGGCCTCGCTGTCGTTGTCGCAATCGCCAAGCCCGTCATCCGAGACATCTGCATCCTCCTCAGAACCTTCTTTTTCCCCTTCTTTTGTCTCGTCGGTGGTATGCATCAATCTCTGTTGATCGGTGTTCGCCGCCAACAGAACCCCTCCTCGCGATTTCCCTGTGCAGCGCAATCCTCTCGCTGTCGCCGTCACCGCAAGTGCGGAAGGAAGCGAGAAAAGCGACGGTTGGTCGCTGTTACTGCTGCCGCTCTCATGGCTTTGGGGCGAATTGAAAGTACCCATCAAAACTTTCTTCTGATGAGCAGTGATGCGTTCTGTCAAAAAGACACGACTTGTGTCCGTCTCTTCCTCATCCTCGTCAAGCAGCAGGTCGCAGGAATCCTCATGACGCTGCCGGCGCTGATTTCGCAGCTCCAACCTTAATCGCCGTCGGTGGAGTTTTTGCTGCATGCAATATAACTGCTGTTGGCGCCGCTCGGGTGCCATTTGCCACCAGTACAGTTTCTTCTTTGTCCTGAACATTTGATCGGTTCCACTCTCAACGGATGATATAGACGAGACGCTGCGCCGCAATGGGGATATCAACGACGCTCGTAGATGGGGCGAGTTTACCGTGCTCATGATCGCATCGTATGTCGGTGTACTCCGAAGTGAAACTCGATCCCACAGTTGTTGCGGCGCACTTCTTGCCCCTATGAAAACACTGTCAATATCACTTGGTGTTGTGGCGAGCGAGGCGGGCCCGCTCTTCCCGCCACGCCCAGTCCAATATGATGGCATGAACAGTTGTTGATGCTCCTGCGAGTGCCGTTCCTGATGATTTTTATCCCCCTCGTCTCTTTCGGTTTCTCCTAATTTAAACATCACCCATTCATTTGTTACTGTCGCAATTCTGTTGTTATTGTTATTGTTGTTGCTGCCGGTGCTGCCGGTGGTGGTGTTTGTGGCGGTGCTGTCGTTCATGTGTGTCCCAATCAACATTTGCTGCTGCATGGCGATGATTTCAAGTTCCTCCCGCCGATGTGCCTCCTCTGTCGCCGCCCACGTCTTCATCACACGCGCAAAACCCTGCTTGCCATGCCACATGGAGAAGCAGGCGGTTTTCCATGCAGTTCGGTCCGACTCGCTGACGGCGCGGTAAAAATACCGACACACGCCGAGCACCGTGCGTAAGTCATCCACAGAAAGAAAATTAAACACGACGTCCAGAATCGGCATTGGAAGCCCACACACGCCATGCGGGTGCATATTCAGAGACGATGCAACATGGAGTGAATGTCTCGTATCGCCGTGGATCAGGTTGGAGACCCCACATTTGGGCCTTGCAGTGTGTATTGCCAGGGGCTGGGAGATGCGGTGAATCGCGGCAGGCGGAACATCGCCACCCGCCCGTCCACTCTTACGAGGATGTCGCCACACGCATCTCCCGCCCGGATTACCATCCGTCGCGGATGCCTCGGCAGCGGCGGTGGCCGTGTTACCACAGCCACTGCTGCCGTCACTGGAAGAAGGCGTAATGACGCCCTCCATGGGCTTCTCTTCACTATATTGTACGTTGTTCTTCCCTTTTTTAAGCACCTTTTGTTTCCCTTCCTTAATTTGTTCTTCCCCCCTCCCTTCCTTCCTCTCTGTCCACACGTATGTGCTTTTTGCTCTAGAATTAAATTGATACACAACAAAGTCCTATTCCTAGTTACTTTTTGTCTTTGTCTCTACCCAAATATAGTTTATATTTCCTTCTTTTCTCTCTCTCTCTCTCTCTCTCTCTCTCTCTCTCTCTCTCTCTCTCTCTCTCTCTCTCTCTCTCTCTCTCTCTCTCTCTCTCTCTCCTGAATATTTTATAATTTTGTTAGTTTCCCTTTAAAATTACACAGAAAAATAATTTTTCCGCCAAGTCTCAGACTGGGATATGCGTTCTCGCAAGCGAGGCCACTCCCGTAATCACAGACAGACTGGCAGGGGAAAGAGATGAACATAAAAGGCAGCAATGTGCGGTGGGAGCATGCACCCGCAAGAACCAACAACAAAAACATGAATTGAAAAGGAGAGGAGAAAAAATAGGCATAAAAAAGGGAGTACGCACATAAACACACAGACAAGGTAAGAGAGAGATATTCTGTGTGTGTGTGTGTATATATATCCCCGTCTCTCTTTCAAATGATGCAGCGGTGACATATTAGTAAACTCATCTCAGCTCACTTCACGTGTTAAACCAATAAGAACTTCCCTTCGTTTCTTTCTTTCTTTTTTTTTTTGTTTATTAATATTATCATCATGACCATCATTGCCGGCATCTGTTCCTCCCTCTCTTCTTCCCCTTCTCATTCTTTTGCGCTTTCGCATTCTCTCCTGTTCTCACTCCCTCTCACTCCCTCTCTCTCGCGCCAGCTGCTGCCATTCCGCGGGTATATGCGTGCACCTACACACTTTATCTCTGTATTGATTAGTCGTATTTGTCGTGAAGGTCAGCGGAAAGTTCATCGATTGATTTTATTCGTTCGTAAGAAGCCTTCGCGCCACCGCCAACCGTGGCAATATCATCCGCATCTTCTTCATCCACGTCCTCTTCTCCGTCCTGTCTTCGTCGCTGTCGCTGCGCCCTCCGTGCCGCCCGCTCCCGTGCAAGTCGTCGCTCCTCACGCTTTTGCTGCTGTTCCTTCGCCTGCATCTCTGCCTCGGAGCGGGCGTGTTCCGCCGCGATCTGCGCAGCGACGAAGGCCTCCCGCTCCTCCGGTGTGAGGTGGCCAAGAGTCTCTTGATACGCCGCTGCTTCCGCTTCGCGCTTGCGACGCGCCTCTGCAAAGCGTTGCTGCACCATCTTCTCTGCACACTCCCGCAGCCGTCGTTTCTTTTCCACCGTCAGTGTCTCTTCCAGCTGCTCCCATTCGGCATCCTCCTCGTCACGAATGGCAACACGTGGGCCTCCTTCCAGACGCACAAGTTCCTCCTTCTGTTTCTCCAGCTCCTTCATACGCTTTTGGCGCTGCTCCGTCTCACGGCGTCGCGCCTCAGCGGCTTCTTGTTCTTGTCGTCGCTCCTCGGCTGACTTGCCGCGCTCGGCTAAAATGCGGGCGATATCTTCCTCCGACATCCCAAGACGCCGCATATCTTCTGCGGTCAACTCCTTCTTTGGTGCATTCTTCTTTCTGGGTGCCATTCCGGGGAAATGGCAAAGGGTAAAACTAATAATAAAAACAAAAAAAAGGGAGAAAAAAAGAAAAAAGTAAAATAAAATAAAATGTTAGAGACACTGCACATTAGGACTCCTCTCGTTCCTCTTCATTCCTTTTCTTTTGAGAAAATGTTGGCCCCAGGATCAATCAATCCAATTTGTTGATCGTTTCTCCTCCTTAAGTATCCCCTTCCATCTCTTCTTCACCATTTTTCTCTCACACAGGCACACATACTCATGCACCACTCGCGACAGCTTTCGGCACTTCATTGGTCGATTCAACCTCTTGTAATTGACGGGCTTCAAATTCTGCAAGAAGGCTGTGATGCTGCGCAAGTGTCTTCTCTACTACGCATGACTCATACTGCAAAACTGCATCATAGCAGCGATGCACCGATGGAAACCGTGAGTCTGACGATAATAAAACCCTCCCATCGGCATTATTACCACCACTGATACTGCGACCAACGACTGTGGTTTCAGTAAGGTTATCAGTGCTGCCATTCTCACCGCTGTTTGTTTTCCCCAGAATTTCTTCAAAACACCGCAAAACTGCCGCACGAGGAACCTCACAGGGCTTGTTGGAAACCCTAAATGGGGAAGACAGCGCACCGTACATTCGTTCAATGCTGGATTGATTGTGTCCCTCAAGCTTCTTATATTCAAGCGCGGCCGCTGTCAAACGTTCTTGGGGAGTGTATTCATCCTTTTCTTTGGCAGCCTTTTTAGAGGTCATACCTCTCTTCTTGACCAAGCGTATAAATAAATATAATAGATATCTATGTGACGTTAAGTAAGCCTTCCTCCTTAATGTGTAACACCACAGCGAAAGCAGAGATGACGGCGCTGTTTTTGGTCCTTCAATAAGGTCAAAAACGCCCCGCAGTTCTCCCCCTCCCCCCCAAAAAAAAACAAGAAAAAAGAGAGAGGAAAAAAAAGAGACACAACTCCGAGTAAAGTAGAATAGAGTAATGCGCGTGTGTGTGTGTCACTCAGGATAACCGCAAATTCCATATACTTTCCGGAGTTTCTTTCACAGATTCACTTTTTCTTCCTTTTTTTTTTTTTTTACTCCAGAAGCTGCGGTTGTTACTGGCTGAAACGCATTCGTGATTTCTTCTGCTTGCGCTCTCGGTTACGCAATTGGGCAGCCTCTTCCCGCGACAAACGGGGCGCTGGCATGTTGTACCGCCCTTGCGGTGGCACAAAACTGCGAATATTACCGTAATAGTATGGGATGTCAGCCGCATGTTGTGGTTTGGCAAGCGGACCGCCAAGAATCGGGGTGGCACTGCCCTCGGCACGCCGCAGTCGACGTTGCTTGCGCGTCTCGCCTTTTGCACTGACGCCGCCATTTTGAAGATGTTTCTGTATAGACGTCTCCTCCCACGCATGTGCCTCTTCTACTGCAGCCTGAAACACCGGGTCAAGCAGCGCATGCCGCTTAATTCTTTCCATAACCTCAAGCGATGAGCGCAACGCGGGGTCGCAGCGAGCAACCGCATGTAAAAACCTGTTGGAAGGAGAAAACGCCCGATCCACCATCGCCTCCGTCAGTGACATCTTGCAAGGAAGAGTTTTTGTATCCAAGAAATGGGTATCTTTGGAGAAACGTTCCCCTAATGACCCTCGCTTC